TTTTTTTTTTTTTTTTCAGAACTTCCAGAAATTATGTTTTACGGGCGAAGTAATCATAGCAACTGGGTAATGCCTGACGATAGGCGTCTGTTGCTGAAAGCACAGTAAGCAGTTACTGCATCTTTTTCTGATAATATTAAATTTCTAGATAGAACAAAACTTTAACTGCTGTTGCTTTTTTAACTTTAAATTCTGTTAAAGTGTTGATGACTGTTTAGAAAAGGATGCTTTCAAGGTGTTACTGAAGAAGTTATCAATGATATGAACACTTTCTGTAACTAAAGAAGAGTGACAAATTTTGTCTATTTGTAGAAAAAAATTTTGTTTGAACATTGCATCTGATCAATAGGCAGTGTTCATTTGGCTTAATTTTAGGATGCGCATGGGATGGAGCACAAGAACATATGAAGAAGAGGAGGAACGGAGGGCTTTACTGGAGAATAGGCCAAGAGTATCAAAAAAAATTTTACCAAGCGAACATACAACAATCTGTGATCTGATTAGTAAAGTTGATAGTGCAAATGAACGTGAAAAAAGGCGTGTTGGGTATGCATTTGGTCCTAACTATTTGTCTATTTGATATATGAAAGTTGACTTTTTTTTGAATAGCATAATTTTGTTCGACTGTTTTGGCTTATTACAGACGCCTTAAAGCTCGATTGGAAAAAATAGAAGCGTCGGCACAGGGTAATGGTACTACTCACTGTTATATTTGTTCCGCAAAATTTGCTTATTTTCCGGTTTTTAAAAGTTATCCTGCTGTATGTCAGAAATGTAATAAGGTTGGTGTACAATTTTTTTTATGTACGATCGTTTTTTTTTTTCTTTTCTTTTCTCGTTACAGATTTATTTTTGATGCACTGTTAGTGGCATTGGTTTTATGTCTCTAAGGCAACAAATCAATTTTTTTTTTTTTTTTTGAAGTTTAAACTGACACTCGCTGAATACTATTAGCAATCCTTCGCGTTAATAGTGAAAATTTTTAATTGTCAAATCATCTAAAGATTTATAAAATATTAAAAATTTTTGTATGTTAAAAAACGTCGGCGTAGTTTCTTCTAAAATTTTTTCACTACCAGTTTGGTGATTTTTAGTCTACATTATTTTTTTAAAGAAAATTTGCTCTCGAGACTGTGGTGTTACGGTACCTGGCGAAGGTAATGAACCACGTCGCTACATATGTAAAGTTTGTAACGAACGCGAAGAGGTCAGTAATAGTAATTATTTCGTCTTGTTTTTTGTTTTTTAAAGATCTGTATTTATTGGATTCCACTATACTGTTAAACTAAATAAGTCTTTTGCCATATTCAGTTCTGGAAAAAGTCTAACGCCTGGTTTTTTAACGCGGTACCTGAATATATTCAACCTACTGAACGTGAAATAAGCGATATGTTTACATCAAGCGACGGTTGGATTCATGCGAAACCAAAGCTTGGTTATGCAGAAGAATCATCCTTTAGGAGTAGTCTCGTCTCACCAGCGTTAGTTAATCTAACTTTTTCGAACAAGTTTCAAGAATATTTAAAAGTATATTTATTCCTTTTTTGCGTTTTTTAACATTGAGATGATTTCAAGGCATACAGGCTTTTACTTTTTAATGCGATTTTCTAACAAATTACTTTTAAATTTCTTTACTGAGAGTTATTAGTGAGAGTTGTTACAATGAAGTCGTCTCTGAATTAGCAGTTGCTTGCTAATATATAGCTTCGTTGTTTTCAGCGGTAGAAGAGATGCAAGAATCCCTCCACGGTGGATTAATGAAAAGGTTAACACGTCGATGAGCGAAAGTGGCGTCAGTGGAGATGGAACTCCTCCATCCGAGGACATCCAAATTACTGAAAGTCTGGAGTCGGCTCATATCTTTGACTCAACAGCTAGTGAAGTTTTAAGGAAAGGTAACTCATTGGACGATATTTTCACTTTACTGGCCGGTTTAAATATTTTGTAGAATCATAGTTTAATTATTTTTAATGTAAGAATCTCTTCTCAGGAACTTGGTGTAGCAGTCATATGCCCTAATTCTATCATAAAAGTTCAAGAAAAGCGCTTTAAATAACCGCTTCTCAAATTTTCTGAATAATCTGTTTTCTTAAAACCTTAATTTACCAATTTGAAAAGTGTTTTAAGAAACTATACTGCGATATGTTTAGACGCCATTGCACCCAAACAGCCAGACGTTTTCCCCGAAAAAGATGATACTCTAATATCGGAAGCAAAATCTATCGATTCTGGAGGTAACCGTTTTCAAGGTTGCTTTTTCATTTGTCGTGAAATCACAGTTATTTTGTTACACAAAATAATTTGTGAAGTTTCTAAATCACTGTCAAGCGGTTACTTTGTTCATCTGTTGAACAAATGTTATTTTTTATTTTTGTTTTTGTTTTCTTATTGATTATTGTAGAATTGAGCAAATTGTAGTTGCCCAAAGTGATGTACTGGTTAACGTTCAGCCGGAGACTAGTATGATGGCAACGGTATCGCAAGAAGCTGAAGATGCAGCAATTGCAGATGTAAATATTAGTCTAGAAAAAACCGACCTAGATATTCCTTATACTGGTGTAACAGATGAAGACAGCTGTAAATACTACCTATCAGAGCCTTGTACAAGTGGCGTTAGAGTAGTTTCACCACCTGAAAAGACTGTGCTTCCATCTAAATGCGCAACTGTAACTGACCTTTCACCACGGCATTTAAATACAAATTCTGAGGCAGTTATTAAACTTCCAGTTAAAAATGTATGTTTTTTTCTTTACCTGTTTTTTCTGATGAATTATTGGTTCAAACAAAAATTTACAGTGGTGATTAAATTAAATAGCAAATTTTTAGTTCTAAATTTTTTAATAGATTTGAAAACAGTTCTAATTTACGACAAAATATTATTGTTTAAGGTTGACGCATCACTTGTGCAGTTTAGCACGATGAAGGAAGACGAAAAAAGTCAGTTAATTTGATCGTTTGAATTTTAGTTCAGTAATATAGTTTGGTAGTTGGCTTTAGCTTTCATAACTATTACAATTACCGGGGAAGAAATAGGAATTATCAGCATCGATAGTAATGCCAAGCGGATTCTTTTTTTTTTTCTTATTCATTTTTTCATGGAACAGTTTTACAATTTTTTTTGATGGATAACTGCAGACTAGGTTTATAAGATAGAGAAACTAAATTACCAGTTTTGCGCAGTATACAGTGTAAACGTCTGGAAAGAATAATCAGTTAACATTTGGAATATAAAAATGCACATTATTGGCTAATCCTGATTTATAGATTTAAAAATATTTGTGCGCTAAAATTTGGATGAAAAATTTTATGAAATTGTTAGTTGTAATTAATTTGCTGAAAATTTGTGAGAAAAAAAATCTTAGCTTAACTGACTAACTGCTACCAGACTGGCAGGTGTCGATGGATTAATAGAGACTAAATGTGCTAACTGGCTAAGAAAGCTCGATAGTACTGCGACAATTGCCATTTCTGTTATCGAAGTATTAGGTTTTTTGGGGTAGTTTGCTAAAGTATGTGGTTTTATCAAAAAGCTTTTTTACCTTTTTTCCGTTAATCCTTTTCTTCAGCTTTTCTTTTTCCTCTTCGTTTTTTTCTGTGACTTTGATCAAACTGCAACAATTCACACCAAAAAACAAATGTATTGGCCTTGACCGACAAGTTAGATTAAAATACAACAAAAAAGGGGGGGGGGAGGCTAAGGATTAGCTGATAAGAAAGACGACAAGCAAAACTTCAATTGTTTGTGCTCTCAATTATCATCTGATATCGTCTGAGGATTTTGTCATCAACCGAAAAATTTTCCTTATAACACGTTTATTTTTTAGTGTTTTCCAGTTTTCCCCTTCTGGTTTTTTTCCTTTACAGAGCAATTTCTTTTTGCTTCATTTTCAACAAAAGATGATGCAAAACAAAGAAGGAAGAAACAAAAAACAAGAAGGAAAGACAGCTTGCCTAATAGTAACTTTTTTTACTTTATTTCCTACTTTTTTCTGTACAGTGTATACATCCTACAAGAATCCGAATGGCACGAACGACTTTTGCTGTCCTTCACATTTCGAGTGTTTTTCTTCAAATGCATTTTTACGTATATTTCTTTTATACATCACTTTTCTATTTCAATCTTGACATTACTTTTTGTTTCCCACTTTTTCTTTTCAATTTTCGTTTTCCTTTTCTGCTTATGAATTTAGAGAAGATAAAAAGCAAGTGGAGAAAAGATATCGACTTTTTCTTCCACGAAAAGTAGAGTCTATGCGGCAATAAAGTGCTTTACACTAATTTGGCTCAAAACTAATATTCCTTTAGAAAAAGCAAAAGAAAATATTTATTTTGTACACAGTTTTTCTATTTTT